TAGCTGTCATTCAGGTATTACCAAATTTCAAAAAACCTATTAATGTAATTTCTGATTCTGCATATGTGGTTCACTCTACTTGGCTGATTGAGTGTGCGCAACTGCGTTTTTTGTTTGTTTGTTGCCCAGGCTGGAGTGCAATGACCTGATCTTGGCTCACTGCAACCTTTGCCTCCCAGGTTCAAGCAATTCTCCTACCTCAGCCTCCCAAGTAGCTGGGATTACAGTTGCCTGCCACCACACCCAGCTAATTTTTGCATTTTTAGTAGAGACAGGGTTTCATCACGTTAGCCAGGCTGGTCTTGAACTCCTGACTTCAGGCAATCTGCCCATCTTGGCCTCCCAAAGTGCTGGGATTACAGGTGTGAGCCACATGCATGGCATCAACTGTGTTTTAATACAGATGATCAACTTATGAAATATTTACTCAACTACAAGCAGAAGTAATAAATAGAATGCATCCCTTTTACATTACTTATATTAGAGCTCACACTATTCTTCCAGGGCCTCTAACAGCAGGCAATCAGTCTGCAGACCGGTTAGTGGCTGCCGTCTTATCTGATGCTCAACATTTTCACACACTGACTCATCTAAACACAATAGGACTGAGAAGCCGATCCTGGAAAGAAGCTAAAAGGATTATTCAAACCTGTTCAACTTGTCAGTTAGTCAATTCTCCCTCCAATTCGGGAGGTATAAACCCTCAGGGTTAGAACCAAACACTTTGTGGCAGATGGATGTTACCCATGTTTCTTCTTTTGGAAAGTTAGCATATGTACATGTTTGTGTAGATACTTTTTCTCATTTTGTTTGGGCAAGCTGCCAAACTGGTGAATCATCAGCTTGTGTCAAACACATCTAATAGTGTTTTGCCATTATGGGAATTCCTTCTTCCATGAAAACTGGTAACACCCCAGGATATGTTAGTCATTCCTTAGCAGCATTTTTAAACAATGGAACATTACTCGTATTACAGGTATCTCATATAACTCTCAGGAACAGGCTATTGTCATATAACTCTCAGGAACAGGCTATTGTGGAATGGATGAATCACGCCCTTAAACAGCAATTGCAGAAACAGAAAGTGGGAGACAGCAAATACAGAACCTCACAAATGCAACTTGGCATTACTAACTTTAAATTTTTTAAGTTTGCCAAGGGGACGACAAATAACAGTGTCTAAACAACACCTGAATAAACAATCCAAAGAAGAGAACTTACAGCAATTAATCTGGTGGCAAAACCCATTAACAAAAAGTTGGGAAAAGGGCAATGTAATATGGGGTAGAGGATTTGCTTGTGTTTCTCCAGTTCCAAATCAACAACCAAAGTGGGTACTATCCAGACATTTAAAATCTTATCATGAGCCAGATACCAAAGAAGAGGTTTGTGTTCTGGGAGGAATCAGAGGACCCCCTGGTCACGGAAATGGTGAGATTAACACTGAGACGAAGTGCTGCTCCCACAAGGGGAACACGCAAAGTATCACCACCGACTTGGGGTCAGATCAAGAAGCTTTCAAAGATGGCTGAGGAAAACCTGAGAAAAGCAGGACAGCCTGTTACTATGAGTAACTTGATGGTAGCTATGATGGTAGTTATCACCGTTGCAGTGAGTATTCCTGGAGTAGGGGCAGAAGTGGGAAAAATTTCACATATTGGGCATATATTCCTTTCCCTCCTTTATTGCGACTTATGACTTGGTTAGATCCCCCAGTAGATGTATATACTAAGGATAGCTCGTGGATGCCAGAACCTGTAGATAATCGGGGCCCATCTCATCCTCAAGAAGAAGGAACTTTAATGAGTATCTCTTTTGGCTTTGAACATCTGCTGAGAATATATGCCTAGGGGCAGCCGAAGGATGTTTAAAGTAAAAAAAAAAAAAAATCAAGCCTGATTAGCTATAGTACCTGGGAAAAAATCACACTTGAGCTCAGTTGCATGTGATCTCTGGCTTTAGTATTTTTTATAATAATTCAGCAAATAACTATGTTTTGCCCCCACCCCAAAACCTAAATGCAGACAAAATAAAGAGTGGTCCTCTAAGTTTAAAATATTAATTTGGGAAGACTGTGTTTCAGCAGAGGCTGAGGTGCTGCATAATGATTCCTATAGATTATTATTGATTGGTGCTAAATATTAGGGGATATTTAGCATTAATTGCACCAGTCAGCCCTCTTGTCATGACACAGAATTACTTAAATAGTATACAAAAAGTGATAACAGTTCTGAGTCAATACACACTGAAACAAATGCCCCTATTATATGAAGAAATGGGGGCATGGTAGGACCACAACCAAGAATGATTTGGCCAAAACTGGGAACTGAACAAAAAGAACTTTGGAAACTGTTTATGGTCCTGAAACCAATAAGGTCTAGGAAGGAAATGATAGAGGATCCTGTTCCAATCATTATTATTCATTAGAATCTATAAAAAATAGAATTCTTTGGATTCAGAGCTGTGTTTAACCTCCTTATCTGTTAGTAGTGGAAAGGTTACAGATCAATTTTCTTAACTCCAGTGTAACATGTCAAAACTGTAAATTGTTTTCTTGAATTAATACCTCTATGTTTGACTCTTACAACTCTATATTACTGGTGAGAGCCCAAGAGGAAATATGGCTACCAGCAAAAATATCTCACCCCCAGGAAGTATCTCCATCCATATATATTCTCACTGATATTTTACAAAAGGTTCTAAAATGTACCAGGAGATTCATTACAACCTTAATTTTAATCATTATGGGTCTGTTTGCAGTCACAGTTATAGCTGCTGTTGCAGGAGTGGCTCTGCATTCATTAGTACAAACAGCCAAGTTTGTTAATAACTGGCAGAAAAACTCTAGCTTGCTGTGGAATTCTCAAACAAAGACACATCAAAATATAGCTAATCAGATTAATGATCTTAGACAAGCTGTTCTCTGGTTAGGGGACAGGGTAGTTAGTTTAGAGTATAGAATTCAATTACAGTGTGATTGGAATACTTCTGATTATTGTATCACTCCTCATCCTTACAATGAAATTGAACATGACTGAGAAAAAATAAAGCATCGCTTGGAAGGGTATGCTGAAAATTTATCACTTGATATAACGAAACAAAAGGAACAAGTTTTTCAAGCCTCTCAAGCACATTTGACTTTAATTCCAGAAACTGAAGTACTTGAGGGAGCTGCTGATGGAATAGCAGCCCTGAACCCTGTGACTTGGGTAAAAACACTTGGAGGATTTATGGCTGCTGTTATGATTGTGTTATTAATTTGTCTTATTTCTCTCTGTGTAGTCTGCAGATGTGGATTCCGAATCCTCAGAGAAATAGCTCACCAAGATAAAGCTGTGCTTGCCTACCTAGCTTTGCAGAAAAACAAAGGGGGACATGCTGATAACAAGTGCAGATGTGTGTGAGGGATTACACCGTTTGCTGAGAGCGACAGCTGGGAAAACCAAGCTTGCCCCCAAGCAGAAAACTGCTCAGGGAATTCCAAGATAGTAAATAACATGTCTCACACCAGATGAACTAGTTCTTTAAACACAGGATATGTGACTCTGCCTCCATTATACTCTCCTAAATAATGCTTTCTAGTTTATCTTCAACCTATAGTGAACATACACTAGCTGCCTGGTTAGTTTACCTTCATGAAAGAACACACAGCATCTGTTTGTTAAACTTATCACTGGAATGTAAAGAATAAATACGTGGGTCAGAGTGTGCTCTTGGCTCTCAGCTGGGAATGCTGTCAGCCCCCTGAGCCCACCTTTGCACTCTCTCTCTGTGTCTGACTCTTAATTCCTTCAGCACCACCTGGGTTGGGGGTCTCCACAACCGAGCTGGTCTTGGCAGATAGGCACAAAGATTCATCTACAGTAACACCTACTATAATATTTTAATAATACTATATATAATATTTACAGTATTTTTGTAACTAGAAATTAGAAATAAAATATCATTACTATTTCTAAATAAGATGTATTAGATCTCCAAGAGTAGAGTATCATATAATCATTTAAAATGACATAGGGGTTCCTACACACACCCCATCCCTTTGCCAAAAAAAAAAAAAATGCTGTAGGGGTTGGGGGAAACAGAGATGTTAGTCAAATGGTACAAACTTTCAGTTATAAGATGAACGAGTTCTGTGGATCTAATGCACAGCATGAGTGGTAAGGAATGTACTAATTAATTGGATTGTGGTAATTATTATACAATGTATACATAAGTCATCTTATTTATACCTTGAATATATTCAATATTTATTTGACAATTAGTATTTTTTAAATGCTGTGAAAAGACCGGAACTTTTAAATATCTATTGAAAGGGAACAGATTGAATAAGTTATAATACATTTATTCAATGAAATACTATGCTATTTTTTAAAAGACCAAAGAAGATCTTTGCAGTATGATTTGGAATAGTCACCAAAATAAAAATTACACTAGGATTTAAAAAAATAAAAATAGGCCGAGCACGGTGGCTCAAGCCTGTAATCCCAGCACTTTGGGAGGCCGAGGCGGGTGGATCACAAGGTCAAGAGATAGAGACCATCCTGGTCAACATGGTGAAACCCCGTCTCTACTAAAAATACAAAAAATTAGCTGGGCCTGGTGGTGCATGCCTGTAATTGCAGCTACTCAGGAGGCTAAGGCAGGAGAATCGCCTGAACCCAGGAGGCGGAGGTTACGGTGAGCCGTGATCGCGCCATTGCACTCCAGCCTGGGTAACAAGAGCGAAACTCCGTCTCAAAAGAAATAAAATAAAATAAAAATATATAAAAAAAGAAAAATTACACTAGATTGACACATAATGGAAATCTATAAATGATGGTAATTACCTTAAATCAGACTTTGAATTCTGAGGGTTTTTTCCTTTTTTCTTCAATACAAACATAACTGAATGAATTCTGAGTTTTGAGGGTTAAAATTCACAAATGCCTCTGCATTGTTTATGTAGTTGCTGCTAGATTTAGGTAAACAAATTTTAGAATACATAGTTTAATACACACCAAAAACGTATCCAACACATGCCTGTTCCACTGCTGAATAAGGGATCTGTGCATCAGCTAAAGCCTTCTGGCCTGTAAAAACAAAGATTTTATCAAAAAGTGCTTTAAGTATTTATTTTAGGTGAGTAAAAATTAAGAAGCATGCCAAATACTTAGAGAACCAGGACCCATACACCTGTAGATCCTTCTCCCTGTTAGTTCCACTCACACTAGTATTCACCTGTCTTTTGCTCAAAAGTACTAATACTCATTAAAATAAACAATAACAAACTGTGTCAGGTCCTTTAGTCATGCAGTAGCCTAGTGACAGAAAAAGAATTCCCTATGTTGGCTCAATGAAGTGAAGAAAACCACCATACAGGTATTTAATACATTTTGAATGTGATTATCCCTTTTCCAGGAAAGGAAGATGCTAATTTTGTTAGAACTCCTGAAGTTAACACATACTAGAATTGATGGAAGAGACCCCTCTTTTCTGTCTCTTGTCTCAAAGGAGGAGGAAGTAAAAGTTGAGACACAGCAAGCATGAAGTCAGTGGCAAGGTCGGCTGGCCAGGTTAAAGATTAAACCCCCCATCTTTTTTTTTTTTTTTTTGAGACGGAGTTTCGCTCTTGTTACCCAGGCTGGAGTGCAATGGCGCGATCTCGGCTCACCGCAACCTCCGCCTCCTGGGTTCAGGCAATTCTCCTGCCTCAGCCTCCTGAGTAGCTGGGATTATAGGCACGCGCCACCATGCCCAGCTAATTTTTTGTATTTTTTTTAGTAGAGACGGGGTTTCACCATGTTGACCAGGTTGGTCTCGATCTCTCGACTTTGTGATCCACCCGCCTTGGCCTCCCAAAATGCTGGGATTACAGACTTGAGCCACCGCGCCCGGCCTAAACCCCCCATCTTTAATCGCAATCCTACCTATAGACCGAAGCCATAATATGGAGAAACACCCTCCATTGTTCTCATTCAATCTTGCTCAGAACCCCACCTGGTCACATACCCCATGCCTACTCATCAATCACCACCCTCTCACACATACTTTCTAGAATTGTAAGCCTTTAAAAGGGCTAGGATTTTCTTTGTTGGGGAGCTCCGTTCTTGAGACACAAGTCTGCTGATGCTCCGGGCCAAATAAAGCCATTTCCTTCTTTAAATCTGGTGTTTGGGAGGTTTTGTCTGAGGCTTGTCCTGCCACAGAATGAGGTTATCCCTTTTAATGACCCTGCTTCTCCCTCCCACAGATCCCTTAACCATCTCAACAAGTAGTTGGATAGCACATAAAACTGTAAGCCACTCTCTGCTCTGGCTATGCAGCTGCTAAGAATACCCAAGCTCTTTTCCCTTTCCCTTTTATAGTGAGTCACTAGGCATTTCTCCACACAGGTTCTTCTCCCTTGACTGGGCTTCCTTTTGTGCTTGCAAGGCTACCCCACCCATGAAATCAAGACAAACCACCTAAAAAACTATGAATGTTCAAAGATCTAAATGTTCTATGTTACCTGCTTCTCTTGCCAAGTCAGGGTAGTCTCTTGAATTCTCAGCTCCAGGTTTCTCGAACTAGAGATATAGAAAGAGATAATAAATATAAACAAGTACAGTTATATGTTCTACCAATAAAAATCTATTCATTCACTACTCATTCAAACAAAAACACATTGAGCACCCCTTGTGTTCCTAGACTTTAATAATAAATAATACAAAATCCTCACCCTCAGTGGGCTTCCAGTCTAACCTAAACACTACAATGTCAGAAGTACAGAATGTCTTGGCAGAGACATCTACCCAGACTTGGAGGGAGGGCAAGAAAGGCTTTCCAGAGAAACTGCCATTTAAATTAACTCCTTAAGGATGAGTAGGAGTTAGCAAAGTGGAAGAGAAGAAAATTTTGGAATAAAGGTCTAGAAGTGAGAGAATACAGCAGTTTTTTTCTCTGTGGAGGAACTGTAAATAATTTGGTCTGACACAGGTTAAAGCACAAAGTGGAAAGTATTAAGGATGGCTGGGCATGGTGACTCATGCCTGTAATTCCAGTACTTTGGGAGGCCAAAGTGGGGAGATCACTTGAGGTCAGGAGTTTAAGACCAGGCTGGCCAACATGGTGAAACCCTGTTTCTACTAAAAATACAAAAATTAGCCAGGCATGGTGGTACATGCCTGTGATCCCAGCTCCTCTGGAGGCTGAGGCAGGAGAATCACTTGAACCCAGGAGGCAGAGGTGGCAGTAAGCCAAGATAGTGCCATTGTACTCCAGCCTCGGTGACAGAGTGAGACAGACTAAAGAGGGAAGGGGAGGAGAAGAGGAGGGGAAGGGGGGAAGGGAAGGGAAGGGGGTAAAAGGAAGGGAAGTGGGGAAGGGAAAGGGGGAAAGAGAAGGGAAAGGCAGGGAGGGAAGGGAAGGGGGGAAGAGAATGGAATTCGGGAAGGGAAGGGAATGGGGGGAAGGGAAGGGAAGGGGGAAGGGAAGGGGGAAGGAAAGGAATGGGGGGAAGAGAAGGGAAGAGGGGAAGGAAAGAGAGGGGGGAAGGGAGGAAGGGAAGGGAAAGGTGGGAAGGGAAGGGAAGCAGGGAAGGGAAGCGGGGAAGGAAAGGGAAGGGAGAAGGGAAGGGAAGGGGGAAGGGAAGGAAAGGGAAAGAGGGGAAGGGAAGGGAAGGGGGAAAGGGAAGGGAAGGGGGAAGGAAAGGGAATGGGGGAAGGGAAGGGAAGGGGGAAAGGAAGGGGGGAAGGGAAAAGAAGGAGGGAAGGGAAGGGAAGAGGGGGAAGGGAAGGAAAGGAAAGTGATAAGGGCGTATAAGGGCATAAAAGTCACTTGGGAGAGAGACGGATCAAATATGGCCAATTAGGAGCAGCTCAGGATGAAAGCTCCCAGCGAAAGCATGGAGGGTGAGTGGACACCGCATTTCTAGATGGATTTTTATTGTCCACAGACCAGGAGATTCCCAGGCAGAGGAGCCCCACAGGTCACCAATGCAGCTGTTTTGGCCAGCGTGGTGGGTCTCTGCACAAAATACACAGGTCCGTGTGCCATTTTAGCTGGTGATTGGAGCTCCTGGGAGACAGAGTTGCCCATTCAACTAATAAAAAAGGGAACTGAAACAGCGAGCCAGGCCAGGAGATTCCCGGGCAAAAAAGTGCCACACATCTCAGCATGACTGTTTCAGCTGGCGCAGTGGGTCACCACACGGGAAATCACACAGATTCTAGCACCTTTTCAACAGGCAACTGGAACGCCTGGGAGACAGAGTCACCTGTTCAACTGAAAAAAAAAAGGGGGGGTCTGAGGCAGGGAGCCAGGTGATCAGGCTCAGCTGGTCCCACCCCTACAAAAAAATAGCAATCTGAAACGCTCTGGATTGAGAGTTTCACAGCAAGCACAGCTGAACCCAGGATGATCCAACTCTGTGGGGGAGGGGCATCCGCCACTACCAAGGCAGTCCACCACGACAGAGGTAGTCCACCGTTCCTGAGGCAGCCTACCATTGCCAAGGCAGCCCACCATTACGGAGAGAGTCCGCCATTACAGAGGTGGGCCACCATTGCCAAGGCAGTTCTAACTATAACCCTATAAACAGGACTGCAGGGAAGTTCACACACAGCAGGGCGGAGCCCACATCAACTCAGCAAAGCCTCTGCAGGCAGACTGTGACTAGGCTACCTCCTCGCGGGCAGGGCAGCCCTGAAAGAAGGCAGCAGCATTACAGGAACTTATAAATGAAGCCCTAACTCCCCGGGACAGAGCACCTGGGGAAAAATATTTAAAAAGGCATTTATGAGTTCTGCTGCAGCAGACTTAAACGTACCTGCCCAGCAGTTCTGAATGAACAACAGAGTTCACAGCTCAGCACTTGAGCTCCTATAAAGAACAGACTGTCTCCTCAAGCAGCTCCCTGACTCCCATATATCCAAAGAGTGACCTCATAAATGAGAGCTCAGACTGGTATCTGGCAGGGATCCTTCTGGGGCAAAGATAGCAGAAGAAGAAACTGGCAGCAAACCTTACTGTTCTGTAGCCACTGCAGGTGATCCCCAGGCAAGCAGAGTCTGGAGTGGACCTCCAGCAGTCCTACAGCAGAGGGGCCTGACTGTTAGAAGGAAAACTAAGAAACAGAAAGAAATAACTTCATCATCAGCAAACAGGACGTCCACTCAGAGACCCCATGTGAAAGTCAACAACTACAAAGACAACAGGTGGATAAATCCACAAAGATGGGAAGAAACCAGTGCAAAAAGGATGAAAACACCCAAAACCAGAATGCCTCTTCTCCTACAAGGGATCACAACTCCTCACCAGTAAGGGAACAAAGCTGGATGGAGAATGACTCTGATGAATTGACAGAAACAGGTTTCAGAAGGTGGGTAATAACAAACTTCTTGGAGCTAAAAGGACATGTTCTAACCCAATGCAAAGAAACTAAGAACCTTGAGAAAAAATTTGATGAAATGCTAATGAGAATAAACAGCTTAGAGAGGAATATAAGTGAATTGATGGAGCCGAAAAACAACATGAGAACTTCGTGAAGCATACACAAGTTTCAACAGCTGAATTGACCAAGCAGAAGAAAAGATATCAGAGGTCGAAGATCAACTCAATGAAATGAAACGAGAAGGCAAGATTAGAGGAAAAAAGGGTAAAAAGGAATGAACACAGTCCCCAAGAAATATGAAACAATATGAAAAGACCTAATCTACATTTGATAGGTGTACCTGAATGTGACGGAAAGAATGAATCCAAGCTGGAAAATATTCTTCAGGATATAATCCAAGAAAACTTCCCCAACCTAGCAAGGCAGGCCATATTCAAGTCCAGAAAATACAGAGAACATCACAGATATTCCTCAAGAAAAGCAACCCAAAGGCACATAATCATCAGATTCAAAAGGGCTGAGATGAAGGAGAAAATGCTAAAGGCAGCCAGACAGAAAGGTCGGGTTACCCACAAAGGGAAGCCCATCAGACTTACAGCAGATCTCTCAGCAGAAACCCTACAAGCCAGAAGAGAGTGGGGGCCAATATTCAACATCCTTAAAGAAAAGAACTTTCAACCCAGAATTTCACATCCAGCCAAACTAAGCTGCATAAGTGAAGGAGAAATAAAATTCTTTACAAACAAGCAATTACTCAGATATTTCATCACCACCAGGCCTGCTTTACAAGAGCTCCTGAAAGAAGCACTAAACATAGAAAGGAACAACCAGTATCAGCCACTCCAAAAACATACCAAATGGTAAAGTGCATCCACACAATGAAGAAACTGCATCAACTAAAGGGCAAAACAGCCAGCTAACATCAAAATGGCAGGATCAAATTTACACATAACAATATTAATCCTAAATGTAAATGGGCTAAATGCCCCAATCAAAAGACACAGACTGGCAAATTGGATAAAAAGTCAAAACCCATTGGTGTGCTGTATCCAGGAAGCCCATCTCCCATGCAAGGATGCACATAGCCTCAAAATAAAGGGATGGAGGAAGATCTACCATGCAAATGGAGAGCAAAAAAAGCAGGAATTGCAATACTAGTCTCTGATAAAGTAGAGTTTAAAACAATAAAGATTAAGAGACAAAGAAGGGCATTACATAATGGTAAAAGGATCTTTGCAACAAGAAGAGCTGACAATCCTAAATATATATATGCACCCAATACAGGAGCACCCAGATACATAAAGCAAGTTCTTAATGACATACAAAGAGACTTAGACATAGGAGACTTTAACACTCCACTGTCAATATCAGACAGATCAATGAGACAGAAAATTAACAAGCATATCCAGGACTTGAACTCAGACCTGGGCCAAGCAAACCTGAAAGACATTTACAGAGCTCTCCATCACAAATCCACAAAATATACATTCTTCTCAGCACCACATCACACCTACTCTAAAACTGACCACATAATTGGAAGTAAATCATTCCTCAACAAATGCAAAAAAATGGAAATCATAACAAGCAGTCTCTCAGACCACAGTACAATCAAATTAGAGCTCAGAATTCAGCACCTAACTCAGAACCACACAACTTCATGGAAACTGAACAACTGGCTCTTGAATGTTGACTGGATAAACAATGAAATGAAGGCAGAAATAAAGATGTTCTTCGAAACCAACGAGAACAAAGACACAACATACCAGAATCTGGGACATATTTAAAGCAGTGTCTAGAGGAAATTTTATAGCAATAAATGCCCACATGAGAAGCAAGAACAGATCGAAAATCGACACCTTATCATCAAAATTGAAAGAGCTAGAAGAGCAAGATCAAAAAAAACTCAAAACCTAGCAGAAGACAAGAAGTAACTAAGATCAGAGCAGAACTGAAGGAGATAGAGACACAAAAAACCCTTCAAAAAAAATCAATGAATCCAGGAGTTGGTTTTTCGAAAAGATCAACAAAATTAGGCCACTAGCCAGATTAATAAAAAAGAAAAGAAAGGATAATCAAATAGATGCAATAAAAAACGATAAAGGGGTATCACCACAGATTCAACAGAAAGTACAAACCATCATCAGAGATTATTACAAGCAACTCTATGCACATAAACTAGTAAACCTGCAAGAAATG